TCTTCTTCCAAAATGCACTTCCCCTTTTGCCTTTAAAATAATTAACCACTGCATAAACCAAGCAAAACAGAACACTTGTTTCTTCTTTGTGTGTTGATATAGGGAATATGAATGCAGAATGCATATGCACTTTAACTAGCTGAATTTTCATTTCCAGACTTCTTCCTCAACTTTTTCCAATAACACTTTCTCCAATCAGTGTTTGTTAGAATAACAGCACTGCCCAGAAGTTTGAGTACTTCAGCTTTACAGCACAGTTTGCGGCACTGATATTACAAGGACCACCAGTTACTGACATATCAGGACCACAAAAAAATAGTAGGGGTGGTTCCCCTATTTCACTGGTAAGAAGATTTCAACATATTAAAAAGGCAGCAATTCACTGCTTGACTCTCAGCTGCAGAAGCTGAGTTACAGAATACTTTGGTGATTGCAATTTCATGATGCGCCACTAAATTCTTCCTCACTCACCTTTCTTAAAATCCAAATTCCATCTTCCCTGAGAAAGGGCCAGAAGTAAAAATTAAAATAGCAAGCATCTTAAGAAACAAAAGTTACAGAGAATTTATGTCTGGCTGCCAAAGTATTTTTGCTACACTAAAAGCTTTCCCAGAATCCTCATTTTGGAATCAAGCTTCCCTCTGACCTCCACAGTGTAGAGACGGTGGACGATGGTGAGAGACAACAATGAAGAGAGTAGCTGACATTTACTGCTCTCTCAAGATTGAAGAGGAAAACGATGGACTTTGAACCTTTAGTGCTGGTGCCCAATGGACAAAACTAAAGGAATGAGGCAACCCAGGACTAGGGCTGCCACCTCCAGGCGGCTGAGTCCTTTCCCTCCAGCCGATTCAGGTTTGTGGCTATGGCCCATTCCTCCAACCTCTGGGAGGACATGCACCGTGGCAACATAAAGAAAAGTCCCAGCAGAGAAAAGCATGGCAACTCCGGTGGCATTGACTTCTGAAAGTGCTTCTTTGCTGCTCTGTGGAACAGAAAGAGGAAGGAAAGTATATGAATGTAAATCCAAACAAGGGACTCAGCCAATATACAATAGAAGCCACTAACATCCATACCCCTTCTATTAAGTTACTTTGGAAGTTATATGAATTAAGAAAAACCCCACATTTTTGTCTGAAGATATTTAATGATTTATATTTACAACTAACATCTAACAATATAACAACTGAAAGAGACTAGAAGAACATTTTTCTCCTTTACTTTGTGCATTTGATAACATTGTATAGGTGAGAATTTTAAAGCATGCAATTATCCCTGCTCGAGTCTTTCACACAGCTACAGGGAGAAAAATATGTATTTTTTAAAAATAGGCAAAACAGATTTTTAAACCATGAAATTTGGTAAGAAGCACTTAGGACCAATTACATTTCAAGTTGACCTTTAGTCTTTAAAGGCCTTGTTCTAACCTCAGTAGTTTAAGGAACATTCTTGAAGTGACCAGCAAAACAATAGTTCCAGGTACTGGTTGCTGTACTTCATTTATAGACAAGACAGTGTACACCTTCCAGGGGTTTTATATAATTTGATTACATCAATGGAATAGATCTTAGAAGTTAAGAACATACTGCCCAAGAATCTACCATCTATTTGTTTTATTTTAGTACACCTCTAACATTTATATAGGAGCTTCTGCCAAATTAGAATCATGCACAGCACTGAAACGATCCAGATGTGAAAAGCTTCAAATTGAAGCAGACTTTTGAGTGCTTCAAATGCACATTTGTTCAGGGCCTTTGAGAAGACTCAAACCCCTTAAAACCCAGTTGCTCACATCTATATTGATCTATTGGATCTACTGATCTGAAATAGGAACAGCACTAAGCATTTGCCAAGATATTCAAGTTTTATACATTTTGAGTTAGCCTCTAACAACTGAGCTGCATTTTGAGGGGAAAAGATCAGCTTATTTTGTTTGTAGTTCATAACCAATATCTGAAGACATGTATAATAACCTAATCAGATTCGCACTTTCTGCCCTCTGAAGAATAATGTTAAAACTTCTGTGTTGCAGGTATATATTTGTACATGTAAATCTATATAATGCAAATTGGTTAAAACAAACAAGTCCGGCTTGGCTTAATGAGTCTCCTGCTCAAGTGTTTGTTTGCTTGAGCCAGATCCTTGGGGGAGACTGTTTGGATGCCTACTGTGAAAAACTGTTTGAACTTGCAGCTCTACCAATCAAGAATTTATTTTATGAAGAAAAATGTTTCTGTTTTTTGGGTTTAAAAAACCCAAAAAACAAACAAAAAAACGAGTGTTTAGATGCAAACCAATCTGAACACCTGGACTGCTAGAGGCAAGAATCCACACCTTGGGGGAGGCACAGCAGATGTAGCAGTGGATTGGGAGTGAGGATTCCCATGATCCCCTTCCCTTTTTAAAGGACCTCAGGGACTGCAGCACCTAAGAGACTCTTAGAGGAAAAGTACTATCAAAATGCGAAGTATTAACAACAGCCCAGGTATGCAGATGTGTTGTGCTCAAGTTCAGCAGCGAGACCAACCTGCACTTTGTGTGGAATTCTGCTACTGAATTAAGTCACTCACTGTAAGTATTACTGTACTATCAAGTAATTTTAAAGCCTTGTTTTCACTCAAAAAGAAACCAACCCCACTCTTAAGCAAAGTCTCCACTTGGGATATCCCATTTTTATTATTCAATATATTTTGTGCTTCCCCTGAAGTTTTGAGGTGTTGCAGAGGCTTGTACTAACAACACAAAGAACTGGGGAAAAGCTAGAAGTTTTGGCATCATTTGAGACCTATATCAACTTCAGAGGAAAAAGGGAGTGGCATCAATGTGCAGCTCTGAGTACAAGAGGATGCATCTCTTGTTTCTTTGTCTCCTATGTAACTCCTGTTTTTATGGCAGAAGTAATGATAATTCCAAGCAAGGAGGTGGGTCTTGACATCTCTACTGCAGCAACCATTGACAGTGATAGCCATTCTGCTGCCATATCACCCACTGAATCCGATATGAAATGGAGACAGCATTGTAGGGACATGGCTGAGTGCCTAGGGTAAGCAGAAGTGGTGACTTCTGGCTGCTGACACAATTGCAGCTGCCAGCAGACACTTGCACTCTCCCCTCAGTCTGAAGTCAATGCCTAGGGCAGTTACCCCTATTAGCCCCCCTAGTTACAACACTGAAAGGAAAAGCCCATTAGCTAAGTGTTTACACTAGAATGATGAGCAGAGTAATAGTTAACTTTGACATTTTCATTACATATTAAAAAACAGTGCATTAAAAATGAACAGAGGTAGACTCCCACATATTTGCTTGCAGGCTCAGGAGAGCAACAAATCCATATTTGCCCGCTTCGTTGTCCAAATTTAAGAGTAGACAACTAGCTTAAAATAAAGACTTCAATTTTATCAGTCTGTAGCAGAGGCGGGCAGTTATTTTGGATGGAAGTCCTCTTACCCAGTTTTGGCAGGCTGTCGAGGGCCACATGGGCAGCCCCACCTTTTGACAGCTGAAATTATGTCTGTGAGATAAAAGTGCTTGTTGAAAGCTCTGTGAGAATTAGACCAAGTGTTTTTCTGTCATTTGTTCAGATATTAAGCTATATGTTGTTGTTAAGAGCCTAATTAAAATCAAAGATTAGCGAGGCCTTGCATGTAGTAAGGCCTAGTAAATTTAACAAAGCCTTGTAGAACTACTAGTAGGCCCTGTGGCATAGTAAAAATTAACCTTATTAGAAGAATGCAAGGCTTGTACTGCTATTGGTTAGTCCTAAAAATAATTATAATGGGAGAATCTGGATGGCTGTAAGTTATCAGCATAGCTCAGAAGTTATAAATTGGCTGGCACATCTGGAAATCATTAGAAGGAAGATGCAGCTCTGCAAAAGAAGCTGCTGATTTAAGATTAGCTGCTGACCTGGATCAGTGGGCCAATGGATCTCAAGGACTGAATACCAGGGTCCTTCCCCCCTTGGACACTGCTAAATTGGTGACACTTGACTTCGCTGAGCTCTGTGGGAGAGGAACTTGTCGTACGTCAAGCATAAGAGGGGACTGCCAATAAGTTGCCGACACGGATTGTTATGGTCTGTCATTGTTTGTCTTATTCTACTACGCATAGTCATGTTTTTGTTAAGTCAATAAACCTTTCTTAGCTTTTACCCCTGACCACACACTCAAACCCAAACCCTCTGCAGGCAGCTGGGACAGGTACCCTGCCCCATGGTCACCATTTTGGGACCAGTGTCCCAGGGCCAGCACCAGTGGGGCCCAAAGCAGGGCACAGGCTGACAGGGGTCTGTGGAGCTGGGCTGGGCTGCACCAGCAGGGAGAGGGAGGAGCTGGCCCAGCTCCATAGAGCTCCTGCCACCTAGGACTCTGCACTCCTGCCACCCTGCTCTGGGCCCCACCAGCACTGGCCCCAGGACACCAGTGCAGGCCCTTGTGCTCCCGCTGGCTCCCTGCCAACTCACACCCAGTGCCCCCCAGCCCTGTGGTACAGGCAGGGGGAAGTGCACAGCCCCGACCTCCTGCTTGCTGGCAGGGAAGAAGCTGGAGCTGAGTGCAGGGAAAAGCAGCCCCTTGCCCACCCCATGGCCAGCGCTCCCTGCTGCAGGCACTCACAGCCTGCAGGGCTCTCTGGAGCAGACACTCGCAGCCCCATGTGGGCTGCAAGCGGCTGCAGCATTGGCCATGGCACGACGGGCTGCTTTTCCCCATGCTCAGCACCAGCTAATGTAGTCCCAATTTTCAAGAAACAGAGGACCCAGCAAACTATAGGCCTGTAAGCCTCACCACGGTGCTCAGGAAGATCTTGGAGAGAATCATCAAAGAGCACATC